GGTTAGTTTCTCTTGAGTTCTCTAGTATGATTTATGGATTAAGTCTCACAAATACACATTTTCTTTCCTCGTCCCCTTTAGCTTTTTCATTTTTTTTAAGAGGAGCAGCTAGAAGTGGTGACCTTATCTATGCTTCCAGTGGTGCCAAGACCAATTACAATGATGGCAAAGCCATGTGTTCTAGCGCTGGTGGTCAGCTGGCTTCCCCTCGAAATTCTGCAGAAGATAGAGCGGTGTATACTATTCGTAACCAGATTGGCAATGCGTTTCTAGGTATAACTGACCTCCAGACGGAGGGCACTTACCGATACCTATCTGGCCAGGTTATCACCTACTCCAACTGGGATAAGAAGCAACCTGATAATCACAGAGGAAAAGAAGATTGTTTAGAAATATGCAGCAATGGCAAATGGAATAATGTAATATGTGAAGACAGCTATTATATCATTTGTGAGTTTTAAACCATGTTATATCAGTCTCATTCTCAGTATGCCTTTATTTCCTGGTATTTTTGGTAGATTTTGGCTTTTAAGAGTTTTCACCTAACCTTATTGATGTGACACTCTCTTGTCTCCGTATGATTTAATAAAGACAATTTTACGCATATCTGCAAATAATTCTATATGTAAATGAAAATGTCCCAACTATGTAATATTATCTCCTTGTTTCTATTCAACGTGTTAACTAAGCATGCACAGATTTCCAGGGCAGTGGTGGTCTACTTGCTTGGAATAGGGGACCTCAAGAGCAGCTCTTTACGTAACCAAAGCACCACACATAAGAGCAGGGATGTAGATAAGGGGGTACCACCAGTCCTCCTGTACGGGGCCCAGGCCAACAGGGGAGCCCAGGAAGGTGGGTGAATCAGATGTGGGCAGAAGAGGGGGTGATCAGCACGGAGGGGGAACAATTACTGGAACTGATCCCCTGTATGGCTCTCTCTGCAGCAGCTGAAAGCTGGCTTCTTCTCTTCTACTGTCTGCTGACTTGACAAGGGTAGAATATACGCGTTCCAACCTAACCAAGCCTGCTAGGCCATACCCTCCACCATCCCAGCTATACAAAATACGCAAACCAGTTTTTGGAGACAAAATGGCCATAGCAGCCTTTTATTAACCAATAAATTATTTTAACATAGATAACATAACATTCCAAATTATAAACAGAGGAAAACATGGTGGTCATTTGACGGCCATAATACCAACTTCACTTTTGCGGACAACATTCCTTTAACTTAGGCCCCCAGCCGCAACCAACCGGCTCTGGGACAATCCTACTTATCAACAGCCGCAACACACCAGCTTGGAGATAACCCTACTTATCTGCAGTGACCACCATTCTACCTATTCCGAGTTAACCCCTTGTTAACTTGAAGGTACCAAGGCCCCCATACCACTGGTGGGTCCCGAATCTGTCTCCATACAGAATTATTTCCTCCTCCAAAGACCAACCACCGCCAAGGCCGCCGTTATAATCCAAAGAACGAAGGGGACGGAGGGTGGTAAGCTTCTTCTTCTTCCAAACGTCCCCCACTGGACTTCCTGAGGACAGACCCTCCTTTTCCTCCCTGGGAGACCCTCCCCAACATCCCCCATCCAATAAGGCAAGCCTTAATCCCCAAAACTTCCTTCAGATAATTTAAACCTCTGTTGTCCCTCTATTCCCTCTAGTCATGTTGACCCTGTGTTTATTTTTTTTTTTGCTCCGGGCCTACCTTTCAGCTGCTGCAGAGAGAGTCATACAGCAGATTGGTTCCAGTAGCTGCCCCCACAGCACCCTTTACCCACCCCCTACACCATATGTTTCCTCCATTGCCCAAGCTCCCTGGGGTTCCCCCACCCCCACAGTGCTTCCGACTTCCCTCCTTTTCCTCCCACCAGCAGCAGTAAGCACACAATAGGATCCTTTAGGATGGAGAGTGGGCAGAGGGTTCGGTAAATATGTCACATTTATCAGCCCCTTCCTTTACTGAATGAACACAATGAGTGATTGGTACTGAAGCCTAGTAAACTGTTTTCTTGGGGGGGCGTATAGGACCCCGGTGATTTCTAACAGCAGCAATGGCCATAGCAGCCTTTTATTAACCAATAAATTATTTTAACATAGATAACATAACATTCCAAATTATAAACAGAGGAAAACGTGGTGGTCATTTGAGGGCCATAAATCCAACAGCAATAAGAGACCCTAGACATGCCCCAGGTGTGGTTGGAGACTGGGGATATGCTGTCGAAGACTGTCATTACAGTTCCTTTACACGCGAACATGACCTACAGTCCCCTTTAACATTACTGGCACTGCATTTGATATGCTTCTCATTACGACCAATTGCAAAAGATATATAAAATACATAAAAAAGAGCGACTAGCACTAAAAAAAACAAAAAATTACAAACAAAATGATTCAGCCAGTACACGCAAGTTTAATTAATATTTTTCCTTTGCTGTCCTTGGGTAAGCATCAACGTGTAGAAAACACTAACTAACCAAAGGGCTAAATAGTAACAAAAGGGCAGAGCGTTTCAGCACTTAACAATTTTTACCAGCCACCATTGGGAAGAGGTATCTCCTGCCCGATGGTGCCTTTAGTTCTGGTCATAAAATCACAACAAGGTGTAGCACCAGACATGGAGCCTACAAACTGGATAGTTACCAGTGATCAACAATGCTACGGGGGAGTTCATTACCCCTCTGAACATCAGTGTTTGGGACGGGGTCCTTAAATACCATACCTGACACCAATCCCAGGGGGAGGTCTTTAATTACCCCCACTAACACCAATGCTAGAAATACTTCAAATACTCCCAATGGCATAAATGTTGATGTGGAAGCTCTTTTTTTACTCCCACTAATACCAATACTGTGAGGGTCTTTAACTAACCCCACTGACACCAATGCTAGAGTGGGGATTTCCAAACCCCACTGACACTGAAGATTGTGCACCATTCCACCATTGGTGCAGGGCCATTTATTACTTCCGTTGACCACCAATGAGGTCTTTAATTACTCCCACTAACACCAATGCTGGGGGGGGGGGGTCTTCAAATACTCCCACTGGCATAAAAGGTGATGGGGAAGCTCTTTTATTACTCCCACTAATACCAATATGTGAGGGTCTTTAACTAACCCCACTGACACCAATGCTAGAGGGTGGATTTCCAAACCCCACTGACACTGAAGCGTTGGCTCCTTCTAGGCCCCGCTATCCACTGTGCCATGAGTCAGTGGCTTGACGTGCTGTGTTTTCTTCATTGTATGTTTTCAATCTTAAATAATAAACTACTCCTGGGACAATGCACTGGGCTGGTGCGTCCTCCATCACTTGTCTTTTGTAAGGAAAATATGAATAAATCAAAGAGTGCGCTAAATATAAGTAAATACAAAAATTATTAGTTTAAAATAATGATGTCCGTGATAGAAAAAAATATAAAAGTCCATCCACCATAACAAAGTAATTAAACAGTTCTGAAATCTTGTAAAAATCAAACACTGTGCAAAAAAAATCCGCCACCGAATGAAATGGGTACACTCACCAGAGCTCCATGCTGACCAGATTATAAGTCAGCAAAGATAGCGTTTGCTCTGGGAGCAATGATCAGCAGAAGTAATCCAAACTGGGAGCAATATACTGCAAGCAGCCAGTCAGCACAATATGGAATAGCCTTTAACAGCAGGTAGTCATCACGTCTCCATACCATAGATCATGTTCGGGGAATCAAAAAAGGAAATCATGGTTCAGTACGTTTAAAACCAGAATGTTTTATTAAAACATCAGAAATGCACTCACAAACAGGGTGTCTAGCCGACACCAGCAATTACAGTCTCAAGAAAACAGGGACGAGCCTCGCTCACCGCGTTGTCACAGCCGACAGTCTACGAGGAGCGTCCAGATGTCACATCCAAAAGAAGCCCAGCCCTACTAATTTCGTCATCCGACGTCTCACGGGGCATCCGACGTCCTCACGGGGCGGAATGGATGATAGACGTCTCGACACAACTATATATCACACACTCAGTCTGCATTGCAGACTAATTGCAGCCAATCAGAAACGGCATTATGGTAACACAATACCGCTCGATCTCTGCAGATACATAAGAGTGATTGCACATAAAATACATCTAAAAAAAAACGAATTCAATACAAGCGAGCGATCCCAAAACAGTAAAAAAAATTTCATAGATGTTAAATAGCAATTACCCACAAATAATATACAGCAATAATGAAATGGTAAACATAATCATAAATAATTAATATGTAATTTATAAAACTATAATAATATGCAGCTTAAATAATAAAATACATCCGCCAAGCCATATATAGTAATAAATGCGTGTAATAATGATGTATATATAAAAATCACTATAATATACCGTATTTTTTCGCTCCATAAGACGCACTTTTTTCCCCCCAAAAAAGGGGGGAAAATATCAGTGCGTCTTATGGAGCTAATATAAAGCGGCCGGTCCGGTATTTCTGCCGCCACCATGTCAGAATACCGGGCCGGCCGCTCAGCTGTTCTCTCCTGCAAGGCCTTACCTGTTCCTCGCTCCAGCGCTGCACAGTCTTCCCGCACTGACTTCTGTGACAGCCGGGTGCCCACTGCGCATGTGCTGCGCTTTGTGAATGGTCCAGTGTTTTCTGGGACACATGACAGGTCCCAGAAGGCGCCGGGCCATTCACAAAGCGCAGCGCTTCTCGCGCATGCGCAGTGGGCACCCGGCTGTCACAGAAGCCGGCGCGGGAAGAAGAGGGAAAGACAACGCCGCGGAAGTGGGAGCGGGTACCTGTCAAATTCAGGTACCCGCTCCCCCTCCCTCCCCAAAGGTCAGCAGTCTCTGGTCATCCCCTGCACTGTCTGCAGTCTCTGGTTATTCCCTGCACTGTCTGCAGTCTCTGGTCATCTGTACTGTGTCCCTGGTATTTTCCCTGTACTATGTCCACAGTCTCTGGTCATCTCCTGTACTGTGTCCGCAGTCTCTGATCATCTCCTGTACTGTGTCCGCAGTCTCTGGTCATCTCCTGTACTGTGTCCGCAGTCTCTGGTCATCTCCTGTACTGTGTCCGCAGTCTCTGATCATCTCCTGTACTGTGTCCGCAGTCTCTGGTCATCTCCTGTACTGTGTCCGCAGTCTCTGGTCATCTCCTGTACTGTGTCCGCAATCTCTGGTCATCTCCTGTACTGTGTCCGCAGTCTCTGGTCATCTCCTGTACTATGTCCGCAGTCCCTGACTGTCTCCTCTAGTTTGTCTGCAGTCTCTGACCAACCCTGTACTATGTCCGCAGTCTCTGGTCATCTCCTGTACTGTGTCTGCAGTCTCTGGTCATCTCCTGTACTATGTCCGCAGTCTCTGACTGTCTCCTCTAGTTTGTCTGCAGTCTCTGACCATCCCTGTACTGTGTCCGCAGTCTCTGGTCATCTCCTGTACTGTGTCCGCAGTCTCTGGTCATCTCCTGTACTGTGTCCGCAGTCTCTGGTCATCTCCTGTACTATGTCCGCAGTCAGTCTCTGGTCATCTCCTGTACTATGTCCGCAGTCTCTGGTCATCTGTACTATGTCTGCAGTCTCTGGTCATCTCCTGTACTATGTCCGCAGTCTCTGACTGTCTCCTCTAGTTTGTCTGCAGTCTCTGACCATCCCTGTACTGTGTCCGCAGTCTCTGGTCATCTCCTGTACTGTGTCCGCAGTCTCTGGTCATCTCCTGTACCGTGTCCGCAGTCTCTGGTCATTCCCTGTACTATGTCTCCAGTCCATTGGTTCAGAATATTTTTTTTTCTTGTTTTTCGCCTCTATAACCTAGGTGCGTCTTATGGTCAGGTGCATCTTATGGAGTGAAAAATACGGTACCTATAGTAATAGCATCGAATACATTAAAAGACCAAAAATGGCATAGAATTCATTGAAGGGCCAATAATCTATTGCAAATCTCAATTTAACATCCCAAACTAGTCGTAATTTAAAAAAGAATGCGATAGTAACAAACAACCAGATATGATAAGGTAATAAAACCTATAGACGGATATATTAAACGGATATTAAAATCCATCTATATATATACCATAACAGTAATGTCAAATACATATGCGATGCGATTAGTCAGATAGAGTAAGATATTATAAAGTTAAAACAACCTATAAACGGATATTATAAACGGATATTAAATCCATCTAAAATGGCATAGAATTCATTGAAGGGCCAATAATCTATCGCAAATCTCAATTTAACATCCCAAACTAGTCATAATTTAAAAAGAATGCGATAGTAAAAAAACCCAGATATTATAAGGTAATAAAACCTATAGATGGATATATTAAATGGATATTAAAATCCATCTATATATATATACCATAATAGTAATGTCAAATACATATGCGATGCGATTAGTCAGATATAGTAAGATATTATAAAGTTAAAACAACTTATAAAAGGATATTATAAACGGATATTAAATCCATCTACATATCTAATAGTAATACCGAATGCATAGGTGGACCAATAATATATAGCACCCCCCAATTTAGGCTAAACATAGCTATAGCTAAAAACAAATTTAATAAACAGCCAGATAATGGTGATATCGAATACATAGGAGGACCAATTTATAGCAAACCCCAATCTAACATATTAAGCTAGTCATAGATAGAGAAAAAAGTTGAATATAATAAACAGCCAGATATTCTATGGTAGTGAAAAACTATAAACGAATATTGTAAATGGATATTAAATCCATCTACATATCTAATACCAAATTAATTCTAACGAAGAATGTATCATTCAACTATAGTACAGAAAAAAATCAATCAAAAATTAGTCAGAAAACAGTTTAAATTGATGTCAATATTCAAACCGTTCGGTTTTAAAGAGTTTAATTCATATATCCAGAATGTTTCCCTTCTGGAGATCTCATTAATCATATCGGTACCTCTCCAATGTCTTTTGACCTTATCTATTCCATAGAAAGTCAACAGACTAGGATCACTGTTATGTTTAAATTTAAAGTGTCTGGAAACACTATGTTTATCATAGCCCTTTTTTATATTATTTAAATGTTCACCTATTCTGGTTTTCAATAATCTCCCTGTCCTTCCTACATACTGAAAATGACACGGGCATTATTTATTTAGTTTGTGGTGCTTTTTTTTTTTTTTTTTCTCATATTATTTTTGTAAGGAGAACTCTGATGTAAGGGGGACTTCAGTGCAAGGTGGATTTTGAGGAAGAGTCTAACGTCAGGGGGCTCTGATGGGGATCCTGATGCAAGGGAGGACTCAAGTTTATTTGGATATCCTTTGCTGAACTTCTCTGCTTTTCCAAATCTTATAAAGCCAGTTAAAAAAAATCCAAGTAAAAATTTAAACTTGATTTGTACATTTAGAAATCAGATTTTATTTTGGCTGTGAATATTTGTAAAATATATGATGTGGTCCTCATTCTGAAGGGTTTGAAGACCCCTGTTTTAGACCAACAGTAGAAAAAAGCTGTGAGATATTTTTCATTTTTAAGAGTCCGCTAAAGAGTGCTTTGTCAGGGGGGGTCATATTGATTTCCCATTGCTGATATTCTTTATGGTCTTCATAATCTCTCCATCGCTGTATAGTCCTTGACCTGTTTGCCTTCTGGACCATCGTAGTCCCATCTTCATGATGGTTTCTAGAAGAGTTGCAGATGTTAATATATTTTTAATATCCCTCAACCCCAAAAACAATGCTTTTAAAAAAGTTTAAAAAGAAAACTCCAAATCCTTTATTTTGAGCAGGATAGCAGGGGTCCAGTAAGAAGATCCTTACAAAAATAATACACTTTTCTACATGGGGCAGGGGTGAGATTCTACATTTATTACCGAACAGAAGAGCAACTGGGCGATGATCCACCATGTCACCACCTACACAAAATCAATAGATGAAATTAAACTGTTGGAGCTACTTACATCGACCATATACAATAGATTTAGGAAAACACGGTTCTGTTGGCAATACTTTATATTTTCTAAAAATATAAACCCTTCTGGTGATTTACACAAATCAATATTTATAATTGGAGTCATGGCTCAAGGCTTAACCCTCTTTCCAGCCTCCCCTGTGACTGGTGGATTCTGCCTATACTGCCCCCCTCTCAAAATTCCCCTATCTCTCCCTCTCCTCATTGGTTCTGGTTCTACATTGTTTTTGACCATGTTAAGGTGGATGTAGCATCGATCGGCTCTACACTATGAACTGAGTGATCAAACACTGCTGATCGCTCAGTTCTCCCCTCCGCTCTGAGCAGAATGCCTGTGACTGAGAGAGTGACTGTCAGTCTCCGGCTCTCTACTCGCCAGCACTCACTCCCATATGGAAGAAAAATATATTTGAAATATATATTAAAAAATATTCTTCCCAAATATATTGACATATATTTGAAATACTACAATTTTGGCCATATTCAATATTTTTCAAAATATAGTTCTAAAAAAAAAAAAAATATATATATATATATATATATATATATATATATATATACAAATAATGTATGTTGAACTGCGTTTTTATTACAAAATATATGAAAAATATTTTTAAAAATACATTTCAAATATACTGTATGTCTTTAAAAACACAAATCTACATTTTTGGAATGCATTTACAAATATGTGTAAAAATATACGTTAAAAACAATCTGAAGAATATATTTTAAAAAAAAATATGTTTAAAAATATTTTTCATATATTTTGTAATATATAAAAAACACATTTCAACATACAGTATATATATATTTTTTTTTTACATATATTTTGAATTGTATTCCTTTATTCGTTCCTTTATTTTTAATGGTGGAATAAAATCTGAAAATACCATAAAAGTGATTGCCACCCACTATGGGTTATCCCCCCACTGCTAGCCAAGGAAATAGCCGCCAGGGCATGGGGGGGTGGGTGTTACAGATGTTTGCACCTAAATCCCTTATTTGCCCTAATATATACCGTCTGATATCAGGGCCAGTGCTACCACTAGCCAAACTAGACAGCCGCCTAGGGCTCACTGCTGCTTAGCGTGCAGCCACTGTTTCCCTACTCTCCGCCATGGCTGGCTCAACGGGGGTAAGGAGGTGGGCTACTCCCCCCCCCAGATTTCAGTTGTGCCCCCCGACCGGTCTTTCCATGGACGCTGTGCCTGTTCACTGAGTGCCTTCCCCCATCCCCGCACTCAGGGCTGGGACAAGGGGAGAGCAGCCTTTCGCAGTGAAGCCTGCCAAGGTGAAATAACAGAAGACAGGGAAAGGTGCAGGGTGTGCTTTCCTCTCCTGTCAGTGGAGCGATCCTCCATAAAGCAGAAGAAACAGGATCGCTCTTACATCGGCATGTTCAGTGTTTGATTCATTCCTTGGCTCCCTGCTGTCAAGAGATGAGCTGTCATTGGAGGAGATAGGGGCAGGGTAATCAGTCTGTGTATCCAAGAGCGATCCTGTGTCACTTGCTGTATGGAGGATCGCTCCATTGACAGGAGTGAGAGCACAGCCTGCACCTCTACCTGGTTTCCTGCCTGTTAGTTTGGGGGGGCTTACAGGCTGGGGGAACTGTACATAATGAAAGGAGGGGGAAGGGGTTACAATAATTTGTACTGAGATGAGAGATCTGTGCCGGAAGGGGGATGGTGGCTATCTGTGTGAGGTTTTTTTTTTTTGGGGGGGTGGCAATTTGTGCTAAAGGGTGGTTGGGTAAGGTGGGAGGAATATATGCTGGGAAGGGTAATTTGGAGGGGTTTTAGCTAGAGGAGAAATTTGGGGGAATTTGTCCTAGGTGGGAAGATTTGTGCTAGGAGGGGGGATTGGGGAGGATTTGTGTTAGATGGGGGGATTGGGGGGGATTTGTGCTAGGTGGGGGGATTGGGAGGGGTTGTTCTAGGAAGGAGATTTGCGCTAGGAGGGGGGATTTGTGCTAGGAGTGGGATTTGTGCTAGGAGGGGGGATTGGGAGGGGTTGTGCTAGGAGGGGGGTTTGGGTGGGGAGGAAAGATTTGTGCTGGGAAGGATAACTTGGAGGAGATTTAGCTAGAGGAGAAATTTGGGAGAGTTTGTCCTAGGTGGGGGGGGTTGCGGGGATTTATCCTAGGAAGAGGGAGTGAGGGGGAATTTGTGCTAGGAGTGGAAGGGAATTTGTGTTAGATGAGGGGATTGGGGGAGATTAGTGCTAGGTGGGGGGGATTGGGTGCAGTTATGTTAGGAGGGGGGATTTGTGCTAGGAGGGGGAATTGGGGCGGATTTGTGTTGGGAGGGGGGATTTTGCTAGGAGGGGGGATTGGGAGGGGTTGTGCTAGGAGGGGGGATTTGTGCTAGGAGGGGGGGGATTGGGAGGGGTTGTGCTAGGAGGGGGATTTGTGATAGGAGGGGGATTGGGATGGGTTGTGCTAGGAGGGGGGATTTGTGCTAGGAGGGGGGATTTGAGTTGGGAGGAAGGATTTGTGCTGGGAAGGGTAAGTTGGAGGTGGTTGTGCTAGGAGAAAGGGATTTAGGGGGATTTGTGGTAGTAGGGGGGACTTGGGGAGGATTTGTACTAGGAGGGGGGATTGGAGATGGATTGTGTTAGATGGGGGTATTGAAGAGATTTGTACTAGCAGGGGGGATTGGGAGGAGTTGTGCTAGGAGGGGGGATTGGGGAAGGGCGGTTGTGTTAGGAAGGGGGATTTGTGCTAGGAGGGGGGATTGGGAGAGTTGTGTTAGGAAGGGGGATTTGTGCTGGGGGATTGGGAGGGATTGTGTTAGTAAGGGGGATGTGTGCTAGGAGGAATAATTGGGAGGGGTTGTGTTAGGAAGGGGGATATGTGCTAGGAGGAGGGATTGGGGGGGGGGGGGTTGTGTTAGAAAGGGGGATTTGTGCTAGGAGGGGGGATTGGGAAGGGTTGTGTTAGGAAGGAGGATATGTGCTAGGAGGAGGGATTGGGGGGTTGTGTTAGGGGGATTTGTGCTAGGAGGGGGGATTGGGGGGGCTGTGTTAGAAAGGGGGATTTGTGCTAGGAGGGGGGGATTGGGGGGGTTGTGTTAGGAAGGGGGGATTTGTGCTAGGAGGGGGTATTGGGGGGGTAGGGGTTGTGTTAGGAAGGGGGATATGTGCTAGGAGGGGGGATTGAGGGGGGTTGTTAGTGTTAGAAAGGGGGATATGTGCTAGGAGGGGGGATTGGGGAGGTTGTGTTAGGAAGGGGGATTTGTGCTAGGAGGGGGGATTGGGGAGGTTGTGTTAGGAAGGGGGATTTGTGCTAGGAGGGGGATTGGGGGGTGTTAGAAATGGGGATTTGTGCTAGGAGGGGGGATTTGTGAGGTTTTGCTAGGAAGGGGGATTTGTGCTATGAGGGGGGATTTGAGTGGCGAGGAAGGATTTGTGCTAGGAAGGGAGGATTGGACGGGAATTTGTATTAGATGAGGGGATTGGGTGATTTATGCTAGAAAAGAGGATTGGGAGGGGTTGTGCTAGGAGGAGGGCTTGGGAAGGATTTGTACTGGAGGGGGATGGGGAGAATTTGTGCTAGGAGAGGAGATTGGAAGGGAATTTGTGTTAGATGAGGGGATTGGGGGGGGAGGGGGAGTATGCTGGGAAGGAGAATTGGGAGGGGTTGTGCTAGGAGGAGGGATTTTGTGATAGGAGGGGGGATTTGGGTGTGGGGAGGAAGGATTTGTGCTGGGAAGGGTAATTTGGAGGGGGATGTGCTAGGAGGAGTGATTGGGGGGAGAGGATTTATGCTAGGGTGGTGGAAATTTTGAGGGGAAAGAGAATGTGTGCACGCAGGGGGAAGTAGAACTAGAGGTGAGGTTTTTATTTTTTTGGGAGGGGGGTGCAAGTAACCGGTCTTGTCTAGGGTACAACATAGTCTAGCAGCGGCCCGGTCTGATATACAAGGAAAACATCGAACTGCTTTGTGAATGACTTCTACCCTCCATATTGTGTTGATTGCAAATGACCTTTATATATACACCTATATACAGAACACACTGTCTACATACAAGAGATAATGTAATATGTAAAGCGAATAAATACATAAAAAGAACTTTTGGCCCCAAAAAATGAATGTCCCTTGAAGTATTTGTCGGGAGAAGGTATAACAAACAAATGTTTATTCTGAAACATTGCACAGCTGTCACCATTATTGTTGCTCAGAAGTGGAGACATCCCACAAAGCAAACAGTAGGTACTCTAGGTGGCCGTCTGCCATGACCATGAACAGAAGTCTCGCCTCTTCCTCACGCTGCACTAGAAAATAGAAGATGAAAAAGTGTACCTGTGCTCCCACATGGAAGAAAAAATATATTTGAAATATATTCTTCCCAAATATATTGACATATATTTAAAACAATTTTGGCCGTATTCAATTCATTTAAAAAAACAAACAAATATATATATATAAATCTGAAGAACATATTTAAAAGATATATATTTTTAAAAACAGTGTTCATATATTTTGTATTTTGTAATGTTTAAAAATACGCATTTCCATTTCATATACATATATATATATATATATATATATATATAAATAAAAATGGAAATGCGTATTTTTATATATTACAAAATATATGAACACTGTTTTAAAAAAAAAATATACATTTTTTAAATATATTCTTCAGATTTTTTTTTTTAACATATAAAAAAAGTCATTTTAACATATATTTTTACATATATTTGTAAATGCACTCCAAAAATGTAGATTAAACTGATTTTTTTAAAGACATACAGTATATTTGAAAATATATTTTTAAAAATATTTTTCAGATATTTTGTAATATACAAAAAAAATACATTTCAACATACAGTATGTATATATATATATAAAAAATGTATAAATAAATATATACACAGCAGATCACAGATCACCAGAAAGAGCTGAAGGCGTCAGCTCGGTCATGTGATCAGCTGTGTCCAATCACAGCAGATTGCATGTAAATAAGGAAATGTCAGTTATCAGCTGTTCTCTCCTCCTCACGCGCTGACAGCTGGTGAGGAGAGGAGAGCCGGTAATCGGCATTCCTCGGAGGGGACATTTACACTGATGATCAGTGTAGCCCCAGCAGTGCCACCTGTCAGTGTCCATCAATGCCCAGCTCTCAGTGCCCATCAGTGCCACATCAATGCCACATAACAGTGCCTACCAGTGCACATCAATGCCACATATCAGTGCCTACCAGTGCACTTCAATGCCACATATCAGTGCCCATCTGAGCTGCCTTTCAGTGCCACCTATCAATGCCAGTCAGTGCCACCTATCAGTGCTGCCAATCAGTGTCAGTTAGTGCTGCTTATCAGTGCCAGTCAGTGCTGCCTATCAGTGCCCATCAGTGCTGCCTATCAGTGCCGTCTATAGCAGTGCCACCTAACAGTGCCAGTCAGTGCCGCCTATCAGTGCCAGTCAGTGCCATATATAAGAGTGCTGCCATTCAGTGCCCATCAGTGATGCCTGTCAATGCCCATCAGTGCCACCTACCAGTGCCCATCAGTGCAGACTATCAGTGCCCACTCACTGCAGCCTCATTAGCGCACATCAGTGAAGGAGAAAAATCACTTATTTACCAGATTTTATAACAAAACTAAGATTTCAAAATTTTCTGTTGTTTTTGGTCTGTTTAGCAAAAAATAAAAAAACCCAGAGGTGTTAAATACCACCAAAAGAAAGCTCTATCTGTCTCAAAAAAGGATAAAAATTTCATATTGGTACAGTGTTGCATGACCGCACAATTGTCATTCAAAATGTGACAGTGCTGAAAGCTGAAAACTGCCTGGGCAGGAAGGGGGTATATAAGTGCCCTGTAGGCGAGGAGTTAAAAGATCAAGGAAACAGGGCTGATGCTGCTGTTGCCTCTTCCAGGGACTTTCTACCTTTCCTCAGCCACTGCAGACCAGGTAGAAATGCAGAAGTTCCATCACAGAACAAATTAGAGCCATTGATGTACTCATAACTAGAATGTATACATTTTTTGAAAGCTACAGTTGTGTCCAAAATTATTCAACCCCCAATGCTGTAAAGGGGTTTAGGGACTATAGTGTACATTTGGAATTGTATTCAGAATCAAATCCTACAAGGACGTTGTAACTACCCAAATGCAACTAAAATGACATCAATTGTTTATGTAATACAGTAGTAAATGGTTCTTCTATGTGGTTTCTTCATTGCCACAATTATTCAACCCCTTAAAGACTACCACTCTGAAGAACAGAGGTTCATACAGGTGCTTTCCATCAGGTATTGAAAACACCTGTGGATGTCACCGAGCAGCAATCAAGCATAATAAAGCACCAATTAGGCAGCTTTAAAATGACTGTGATACTCAGCTCCTTCTAGACATTTACTGGTGTGGTTACAAACATGGTGAAGGCAAGAGAATGGTCCAGGAAGACAAGAGAAGAGGTGATTTCTCTTCACAGGAAGGGCAATGGCTATAAGAAGATTTGCATAAATGTTAAACATACCAAGAGACACCTTAGGAAGCATCATTCGCAAATTCAAGGCAAAGGGCACTGTTGAAACGCTACCTGGTCGTGGCAGAAAGAAGATGCTGACTTCGACTGCTGTGCGCTACCTGAAGCGTAGAGTGGAGGAGAAGTCCCCGTGTGACTGCTGAGGAACTGAGAAAAGATTTGTCAGATGTGGGTACAGAAGTTTCAGCCCAGACAATAAGACGCACACTGCGTAATGAAGCCTCCGTGCCAGAACTCCCAGGCGTACCCCCTTGCTGTCTCCAAAGAATAAGAAGAGTCGACTGCAGTATGCCAAAAGCCATGTGGACAAACCACAAAAGTTGTGGGATAGTGTTCTGTGGACTGATGAAACAAAATTAGAACTGTTTGGGCCCATGGATCAACGCTATGTTTGGAGGAGGAAGAACAAGGCCTATGATGAAAAGAACACCTTGCCTACTGTGAAGCATGGTGGAGGTCAATCATGCTTTGGGCTGTTTTGCTTCTGCAGGTACAGGGAAGCTTCAGCGTGTGCAAGGTACCATGAATTCTCTTCAGTACCAGAGATATTGGATGGAAACGTGATGCAGTCCGTCACACACCTGAGGCTTGGGAGACGTTGGACCTTTCAACAGGACAATGATCCCAAGCATACCTCCAAGTCCCACTAGAGCATGGTTTTTGCAGAGGAAAGGCTGGAACATTTTGGAGTGGCCATCGCAGTCACCAGACTTAAATCCGATTGAGAACCTCTGGTGGGACTTAAAGAAAGCAGTTGCAGTGCGCAAGCCTAAGAAGTGACTGAACTGGAGGCCTTTGCCCATGAAGAATGGGCGAAGATACCCGTAGATCGCTGCAAGACACTTGTGTCAAGCTATGCTTCACGTTTAAAAGCTGTTATAACTGTAAAAGGATGCTGTACTAAGTACTAAGATTGAATGTCACTTGGGGGTTGAATAAAACTGATAATGCTGTGAGCACAGAAAAGACATTTGTGGTTATTTCATTATAACTGTTATGTTATATTTGTCTGACCTACAAGTGCCTCTTTAATGTAAATGTAAGCAAGATGACTGAATGATCAAAAGCAATGTCAAACTGGCCAAAACACTCAATTTCAGTGGGGGTTGAATAATTTTGGCCACAACTGTATGTTATTTATACTGTAGAGCCCTGCTGTGATCCAGTCATCTACCCACCATATCCAAGAGGGAAGCTCCTGTAAGCAGGCACCTGTACCCATCCATCTCTTAAAGGGACCTCTGGCCAGCTGGATCATCTTACTTCTCTGAGGGCTCATAGCAACACCACCCTGAGGAGAATTATCCATGTTCCAGACCAGACCTACAGTTGTGTTCAAAATAATAGCAGTCAGACATCACTAACCTGATCAATCACTGTTTTTGGTAGAAATGATATTTCTACATGGCAAATAATTTTACTAGCAGGTGTAGTAGAGTAATAGAAATCCAGCAAACCCAACAGTCATGACATGCATGCTGCTGATTCTGTGTAATTCAATCACTAATTGAAAAGGGCATGTTCAAAATAATAGCAGTGTGGAGTTCTATCAGTGAAGTCATCCTTTCTTTGAAAAACAGGTGGCAATTATTGCCCTTATTTAAGGAAGGAAGGCAGCAAATGTTGGACATGCTGGTTACAGTGCAATTTCTGAGGAAAATGGGTCGTTCCAGACATTGTTCAGAAGAACAGTGTACCTTGATAAAAAAGTTGGTTGGAGAGGGGAAAACATATAAAGAAGTGCAGAAAATGATAGGCTGCTCAGCTAAAATGATCGCAAATGCTTTAAAATGGCAACCAAAACCTGAAAGACGTGGAAGAAAGCAAAAAACTACCATTCAAATGGATAGAAGAATAGCCAAAATGGCAAGGACTCAGCCAACAATCAGCTCCAGAAGATCAAAGAAGGTCTAAAGTTACCGGTGAGTACTGTTACAATTAGAAGACGCCTATGTGAAGCCAAGCTATCTGCAAGAAGCCCCCGCAAAGTCCCACTGTTGAAAAAAAGACGTGCTGAAGAGGTTACAATTTGCCAAAGAGCACATTGACTGGCCTAAAGAGAAATGGCGCAACATTTTGTGGACTGATGAAAGTAAGATTGTTCTTTTTGGGTCTAGTGGCCGGAGACAGTTTGTCAGACGACCCCCAAACACTGAATTCAAGCCACAGTACACTGTGAAGACAGTGAAGCATGGTTGCGCAAGCATCATGATATGGGGATGTTTCTCATACTACGGTGTTGGGCCTATTTATCGCATACCAGGGATCATGGATCAGTTTGAATACATCAGAATACTTGAAGAGGTCATGCTGCCTTATGCTGAAGAGGAAATGCCCTTGAAATGGGTGTTCCAACAAGACAACGACCCCAAACACACCAGTAAACGTGCAACATCTTGGTTCCAGACCAACAAGATTGATGTTATGGAGTGGCCAGCCCAATCCCCGGATCTTAATCCAATAGAAAACTTGTGGGGTGACATCAAAAATGCAGTTTCTGAGGCAAAACCAAGAAATAGAGAAGAACTGTGGAATGTAGTCCAATCATCCTGGGCTGGAATACCTGTTCACAGGTGCCAGAAGTTGGTTGACTCCATGCAACACAGATGTACAGCAGTTCTCAGAAACAGTGCTTATACAACTAAATATTAATTAAGTGATTCAAAGGAAAGCAAAATCTTCAAACATTTTTCAGTTTATATAGTGAATGTTTGAGTTTGTAAAGAAGAATACAAACACTGCTGTTTTTGGAACAGTCTAATATTCACTTTTCTTCAATTTTTTTAGAGGACCAACACAAATTTGATCTATTTTTCTTCATGTTTTGATTTGGAATAGAATGTGTAGTGTTCCCAATGCATTTATGTGTATGGAAATAAAAGCTATTAGAAGGATTTTGAGCTTTATTCACTTTTTTCAACACACTGCTATTATTTTGAACACAACTGTATATCTGTGAAGGAGATCCTCATTGATTCATACACTATGTACTTGAATTACGTATCTGGTGAGTGAGTAATTTTTACCACATTATTGGAAGCACCACCACTGGATTGGATTGTCATACTACATTACCTTTATTAGATAGACTGTCACTGCTATTAAGCATTTATACTTTCAGCTAATTCATGATATTGGGGACAGTATTTATCGATATTCATTTTTTAGCGCTGTACTTATTTATTATATGTTTATGACAAGGTTTTTTATTGGTTTCCTTGAGTGTTTCAGCTGCTTACTGAGAGCGCTCACTTTTATTACCTTATCTACAATGCCATACTTACCTGTTCTGGGAAATGGTTTTGCACAGAGCAGCCACAATCCTCCTCTTATCAGGTCCCCCACTGGTGGTCCAGTCCCCCTTTCCCATGCCGAGAATGATTTCAGAAGCTTGCTATGGAGGCACCAAAACAGGCTTGCTTCCGAGCCACTTCTCTGTGTGTCCATTCACACAAAGAGCCATGGCTCGGCTTTGCCCCCACTCTCTCCTCAGTAGGGCCACTTGTGAGTGCTCACTCCCGAGCCCCACTACGTGCATCCGTGAGACACACAGAGCTGCATGCAGAAGCAGAGATGGACTGACTATTCAGGCACTCGGGCTCTGCCCGAGGGCCAGTAGGGGGCCCCATGGGATACCCCTGGTACCTTTCATAGGCTTTTTTGGGTATGCTTTGAGTGTGGGCGAGGACCCAGGGGCCCCATGATCCCCTATTACCCAGGGGTCCCATGAGTTGTCAGTCCACCCTTGTGCAGAAGGTTGTTTTTAACTTTACTACATAAAATGCCCCTGGTATCTTTCATAGGCTTTTTTGGGTGTGGTTTGAGTGTGGGTGAGGACCTAGGGGCCCCATAATCCCCTATTACCCAGGGGCTCCATGAGTTGTCAGTCCGCCCCCGTGCAGAAGGGTTTTTTTTTAACTTTACTG